CATGTTGTATACTTTTTCTAATATCGATATGGCAAAAAAACTGCGGTTGAAAACTCGCCTGTCAAGCGTGGTAAGTGGTAACTATAGCAAATATCCCTGAGAGTATACATATACAAGCTATTATGTATTATTCTCTAAGAAATATCCCCTTATGAGGCAATCCTTGAGGAAGCCTTTCTTCAACTTTGATTGTTTATATGATGATGATGATGATGACGTATACACAAATAATGTTTCATTTGCGTTCACTGATCCTAAATCAATATTCGATATTACAACTATTTTTAATAGCGAATTTGGCATGCTAAAGATAAACTTGTAAGGCTTGTTATTTTATTGCTTCCACGCAAACCTCGAGGTTTAACTAGTCAATTAAAGCTATCATTCAACCACGAGGACAATACCGATGGCCTTGTGGTACTATACCGAGACAGTTCAGTGAACCCAACCGTTCCAAATTAAGACCAAATTCCAAGCGCTTTGAGTAAAGACGAATATAGAGTAGACAAATATATTTTAATTCTTATACGTTAGCTCATTTAACGACTTGTAAGTTGACGTCCCGTGAAACAAGACCGGGCTCTTTGTTGCATTGGAAACCAGCTTTGATCTGTTAAAGTAATTTTGCTGTCTCTTAATGTTATATTATCATTTTAATGTTAGTTGAATATACCTATAACAACTTATTTATAATCTTAGTGTCTACTGTCTACATACACCACAACAAAAGTTAGAACTGTAATATGCAGTAAGTAAGGATTTTCATTATTTTATCTATATATATATATATATATATATATATATATATATATATATATATATATATATATATATATATGTAGATAGATAGATAGATAGATAGATAAACTAAATTGAAGTACCTCTCTTTAATATTGAAGTAACTGCCTTCTATCACAGAATAAATTCCATTAAGCTCAAGGATTTATTCGTATGCTGTTAGAGACATAAATAAACATTTTTAACATTTTTGTCTATTGTATGCCTGTCTCGGAATTTCTGAAACGATTGTCTATGACTATCTTAAATCTAAATAATTGCTAAATAACGGAATAACGGCACATTAATACAACCTATCCAGGAGAAGTCGGGGCGAGTCGCTATTATTATAACATATGTATAAATGTTGAAATTCCGTCTGATATCAAAAAAAATTTTTTTTTCCAAGAGTGGGTGTAGTTTCTGTTGAAAGTGTTTATTTGTATGTATGTATATACAACATGTAACAAAAACCCTGTGATTCCCGTTACGAGGGTGGATTGAAAAGTACTCGGCCTAACCAAGAAAATAAACACATACTAAATCAGTAATATTTTTATTTTTCTACATAATCACCATCAAGTTCAATACACTTTTGCCACCTCCCCTTCCAAGCATTTAGACCGTTGAAAAAAAATGATTCTTCCTTAGTCAAAATATGCGTCTACAGCTGCTTTGACCTCGTCGTTTGTCGAAAATCTTTGACCTCCCAAGTGCTTTTTTAGGTTAGGGAACAGAAAGAAGTCTGATGGTGCCAGATCAGGTGAATACGGCGGATGCGGTAACAGTTCAAAGCCACAGTTGTGAATTTCAGCTATTGACTGTACTGACGTGTGAACACGGGCGTTATGTTGATGAAACAGGACTTTTCTTCTGAGCATTCCTCGACGTTTTTCTTTTATTTCCTCTCGTAAACGACGTAGTAAGGTGCAGTAGTAATCAGAGTTTATAGTCTGACCCCTTTCAAGATAATCAATCATAATCACACCTTTCGAGTCCCAGAATACGGAAGCCATCACCTTATTTGCCGACAAAATCGACTTAGCCTTTTTAGGGGTGGTGAACCAGGTCTTCTCCACTGTTTTGATTGTTGTTTTGTTTCCGGTGTACAGTAATGAACCCATGTTTCGTCCATAGTAACAAAACGATTCAAAAAATCATCTGCATCGGCTTCAAATAACTCCAAACAGTCGCGTGAAATAGTCAATCGCGTCCTTTTTTGTTCAACTGAAAGCAGTCGCGGAACCCACCTCGCAGACACCTTGTGGAAACCCAACTCGTCGACAATGATGTTTCGAGTTCGTTCATAAGAGATGCCTATAATCTCGGCTATCTCTCTAATTTTTAATCTGCGGTCTCCCATTATTAAATCAAGTACTTTTTTAATATTTTCGTCAGTAGTTGACGTCGAAGGCCTTCCAGAGCGGGGTTCATCTTTCACACTCTCTCTACCACGCTTAAATTCTGCTATCCATTTTTTGACGGATGAATATGACAGAGCACAATCGCCTAATGTACTGACCATGTCATCATGGATGGCTTTTGATGATAGCCCCTTCTTATGGAGGTACTTAATGACGGCACGCTGCTCGATTCGCTCCGTTCGCGGAAATTATGTCCGATTACTTTGTTAATAAATTTATAAAATCACTACTAATTATCGCACACGTTTCGAACTTCACACAATGAACTAGTCTGAACTGAACTAAATAATGTGCGTAGATTTGATTTTTAGAATTGAATGGATCTGTGTTAGGCCGAGTACTTTTCAATCCACCCTCGTAACTGCGTTATCAGAATCAGTATTCAAGCGTATAGAAGTAAATAAAACAAAATGCTTCCGTCAGCACGCATTAACTCTGCATGATGGACTCTTCCTTGTTCAAAAAATGGAACTATACAACGTGTAACAAAAACCCTGTGGTTCCCGTTGACTGCGTAATCAGAATCAGTATTCTAGCGAAATGAATGAAATGAAATGAAAATGAATCTATAGAAATAATTAAAAAAAAAACACATTTAAAAAAATTAATTTTTTTTAAATTTGTTTTTTAAACAGCAGCATGTGTTATCGGGGTGTTCTCCCTGCCGCCTCTTACGACACCTACGGTTTGCTATGGGGTAGTGGAAGCTTATACACCCCCTCATCTTCCTTTAAAATAAAAATTATTTAAAAGTAAAAGAAAAAGTTTACTTAATATTAGTTAGTGGCGTGGTATGTTGGAAATATTCCGCCATGAGCAACGACAAAAAGTCTTGGTAAGGTATTTTACTTTTAATATTTTTGTCGGCGTAAGTAGGTTATATATACTACAGAAAGACAAGTATTGAAATTGATGTCGAGTACCTATCACACGTCAGTGGCACTGCATTAAAAGGGCATACGCTTCCTAAACTTCGATTGTGTTCCCAGAGGGACTGGTTGTCCAAACATAACAACACATCATGAATATGAATGACCCTTGTTGATCGCTCGTAGGTGGCGGATCACAAAGTAAGTGTAAGTCAGTTATAGATTCTCATAGCTTTTATATATATATATATATATATATTACAAGGGTGACAAACGAGCACACATTCCATCTGATAGTAAGTGGATGCAGTAGCCCATGGATGACTACGTCTATCCTCAGTTAAGAATCAAAAGGAAGAAGCGTTGTCAGTTGTCACCCTTGAGGACTAACGTAGAATGCTATAATATAGGCGGGACAGATAAGATAGGCCAAGATACATTTTATAAAAATTTTACTTGTAAATTTATTTAAAGTAGTGGTCGCCTAGTGCTCGAAATTTGACTGGACTGTAATTAATTAAATTTTAAAGTTTGTATGTAATCAATATGGCTTGCTTCACTTTAAACTGCACATTAATATATAAAACAGATGTTTAATATACTAACAAATTATAAAATAAAGGCTTTTTTGCCTTTACATACACTTCATAAAACAAATAACACAAAATAACAGCTCATTCTGCCAAACAAATAATTACTGACAGTAATTATTTCTTAGATTGCTACGTTGGTGGTGGTAAAAGCCAAAATCAGTTATTGGGTTTTAATGTCAATGAATTGCTTTGCACGCAGGCTTGACAATTTAAAGCCTCCTAAAGAAGCCAGTTTCTATGGCTTTAATACCATATTACAATGTAACTACAATACAATTCACCTACAATTCAAAAACAATACAATTCACTGAAAGAAATGTATGTGGGTCACAAACATTTTCTTCAGTGCATTGTTCAGAAGACCGAAGAGTAGGTACAATCAGCCCCTTCGTCTTGCGCATATGGACTTATTTGTTACCAGACACTATTGAGATCATTGGACGTAGTAACGTCCTCCAGTGATTGTGTGAGTATATCGTCGGTAAATCGAAAGTAAAGCCGATTGTACGATTTTTATACATATTGCATATATAAATATATATATATATATATATATATATATATATATATATATATATATATTTAAGTAATAACTGGAGTACTGGCATTGTTAGGTAAAATATGTATTAAAATATGTGTCGTAAGTAAAATAGATCGAATCCTATGCGTGTCCTAAAATTAGAGAATTATTGCTTAAATGTTCAAAACTGGTAGTCACAGAACACGTCTCATATTCAAATTCGTTACAACACGTGTCATATTCATATATATACTTATATTTCGTCAGCTACCCCTTTCGCACCTGAGATTTTTGTTCCTTTGATTTGAAATGAAAACTATAATATTTTGGCAAAGAAGTTGTAATGTTAATGTAAAAAATAGTAAAAAAAATCCAGCGTACACCAGAACTCGTGAAAGTCGATAGCACGACAGTGAGCTCTAGGGCTGACTTCTATCAACTCACGATCGTGCGTTTTTAAGTTTTGATGAGATTTTAATGCATTGATGGTGTCAGCTTACTTCAAAAAATATTTATAATGAAATAAAACGCATCTGGTTATTAGAAAAGACTTATTTAATTATTGCCAACATTACAGTTTAGGTACAAAATTTCAGTCTTTTGTTTTCATTGTAATAAAAATGCTCTTTCAGCAGACAACTTAGAAATTAAAAGAAAGGAAACAAAAATATTTTTACGAAATAAACAATGAGATAAACTCATGCTTCTTAGGAAACAAAAACTTAACACAAAAACATAGAAATCAACTCAAAAGCCTTTCTGGCTGTACAAAAATAACATAAAACTTAATACTTAGATAATCTTTTGAAATATCTTTCTAAATCACAGTCTTTACATAGGAAACGTTATCAAATAAGACTTGTTTCTTTGGTGATACAAAAAAGCAGTCTTTATCACGACTCAAGCATAAGTAAATATCACATTTACGGCACCTAATTTTAGAGCGACATGAACAAATCTCTGAGCGACATTTGCGAGGAGCCTTCAAGTCGTCAAAAATAGGAAAGTGTTCGTAACCATCAAACCTCTTTCCCACAGACGGATGATTAGCGGGTTTGTATCTGCCCGAAGTTTGTGCCTGCGTTTCAAGTAATGAGGATGAATCGCGCCGATCTCTGTCAGGAGTGCAGATGTGTGTCTCAGCAACTTCAAATCTGAATGAAAGGAGATCTAATATTCGATTTTTAGGAATGCCTTTAGCCAATGAGTCAGATCTGTAGGGCCGCCACGAATTTACCATTGCTAGGTCTATAAAGTGTAGTATGACCTTGAGAGTCCATTTACGGGTCTTCATGAATGTACGGGAGTATTCCATAGATTGGTCCAAAACATCCATCCCGCCCATGAAAGAGTTGTAGGATGTTACAATTTTGGAGCACCAACATCGACGTAGCATTTTTCTGTTTTATTGTACCGCTTTACTATGTCGGTTGCCGTGCCCCCAGTACAATTTGATGCTGTCAATACCGCCTTGCTGTCCTTCCATTTTACCAAAACTACGTCGTACGATACCCTTTGTTCAATTTCTCCTCGTGTCATTTTTTTGTCATCTTTAAACTTAAGCAGCTGTCGATCTAGTACCCGGTTAAGCATAATTGTCCCTGTGCCATGATAGTCGATTTTCGTTAATTCTTCCAACAGGGGAATCGTTGTAAAATATCGGTCAAAAAAAATGCAGCTCCCGCGTGGAACACTTTGACTCAAGCGAAGAACTACAGCCGGGCCAAGCCCCAAAGGATGCGAAAGAGCGGGATTATTGCCATAATAAATTTCAAAATCCACCATTAGCCCTTCACTAGTAGTAACCACGAAATTCTTAAGATCCACTGGGCGAGGCTTGTTCTTTACAAGCTGGCGAATATGACACTTGCCAGTGAAAGGTATCATTTGTTCGTCAATCGAATACCTGCCCGGGATCCTTAGAATTTTATTGCAGCCTTCTCTCACAATGTCGATCATCGGCTGAACCTTCCAGAGAGGATTATTTGCTTCCGAGACGGGTGGAGAGTCGGAATCCACTACGTGCAAACTGCTTCTTAAAGTTGTCGGTCTATCTCTTGTCATTGCAGAAACAATCATGTCAACTTTAATATTTCTTCGCCAGTACATTGCGATCCTGGGATGAGATGATAGTATACCCATCAGTAGATGGATACCAATCAGTTTTTTATTTCCGGTTTGGTTGTATTTAAAACTCGCCCAGATTTTCTTGAATAGTATAAGTTTGTACACAATGCCATGCGCTCGTAAAAATTATCATTATAATAATCATTATAATATTCCACCGGCGATCTTATTTCATTTGGTTGTGGATGACGTGAGTAGTTATGTGATTTATCGATGTAATCAGTTTTCTTCCATAACCTTTTACGAGCAGGCAATTTCACTATAACAGCCTTTGATTTTTGTGTTACTTTTGAACAAGGTGTTTGTTTTGACTTTTTAGAACAAGATGGGCCTGCTTCACTCTCATTCATGTTATCAGATGTAGACTTCCTTTTAGACGCTTTACCTTTAATATTTTCCGATTTCACAGCTGCCGCAGATAAGCGAGGCGGAGAGGATAGCCCAACTTCACCTTCTTCATCATTTTCCAGCTGCAGAGGAATAAACTCTTCATCGTCGTCGTCGAAGTCCAACTCGGAACAGTTACCATCATTGAGGATGCCCAAGACGAGGTCATTGTTCAGTGGCATGGCTGTAGTTAAAGAAATAAATCGAAAAATAACTTAAAAATGAATGAACTCACGATCATGCGTTGGTACAATTGCAACCCAGATGTCACGACAGTGAGCTGACAATTTTGTCGTAAATTAAGTTGGTTATTACTAAAAATATAGAAGAAAGTTATAGTCATTCAGATGAATCATATACTTAATGATGTAATACAATCATAATATCAATGATTTCTTACGAAATTTGCAAAAAAATAAATATAACTTACGGCGTCCAGTGACGGGGTCAAGAAACGCAGCCATCTTGTCGGTGCGCTCGCGGGTACTGATCGCGCTAGACGCCAAAAAGGTTTCCTATTGGATAGATTGATGAGCGCACGACCATGCGATGTCGGTTTAACGCGGAGAAACGGATTTGGCGCGAACTTACAATTTTTCAAAGAAGAAACTCACGATCGTTTCATTCGGGTGCGAAAGGGCTACGTCTGTTTCAGTCAAGCTGGGAACAAATTAAGACATGTGTAGGTGGCGGTGACTACCAGTAACAATAACTGCTGTTATGCTCTTGTAAGTAGGCGATGATTCTCTTCATTTTGTAACCATTAATTACATTGTAAGTTATACAATCTACTTGTTTCCATTTGTAAACAATTTACTTTAGTATTGCTGGTGATGAAAAGACTAGGCAGTAGTATAATTAGTCTATGCTTATGACAGTAAAATAGGAATTTATAAAGTATATTACGCTTAATCGATGAGTCCTCAGTGGTGTTCTTGTTTCTTAGGTTTCCGCTCTTCAAAACCGTATAGTGGCGGTGTAAGAATATCCACTAACATATACCATTCCATGGGCGACAAAGAGTAAATAAAACAGGAGATGTGTAGCAGCATCTTTCCGATAACAGCTGAATAAAAATAAATATAAAAACTGCTGTTGCTAACTCGCTTGCCAAACAGGCCAACTGTCCAAATGGCAAATGTCCCCCCTATGAGGCAATCTACGGGGCAGGTCTATGTTCAGCAGTGGACTTTTGATAGGCTGTGGTAGTGGTAATGGTAGGGAAAAACCGCAGTTCCCTTATTCTTAGGATCGAATAGCGATAGTAAGTTGAAAGCAATATAAATACTCAAACATACCCTTAGGGGTTAATTTTTTTAACCCTAGCTCACTAACCTTATTTTCGAGTAACGCTGTAACTAACCTTTCGTCTCTGAGACTACGAAAAAAAAACATCACTTTTAAAAATCTGTTTAATTTTCTTTAATCAAATTAAAGTTCACAGTAATTAAGCTTTTAACGTATCATATAATATTAAAAAATAATGAAATATCTTAATCAGTACAGGAATTACACGTAGATACTGTATGTTCGCCACAAATGACCCTCTTGCAGCCCTTGCAAAAGTATTGGTCATGCGACGTTTTTTCGCTGGGCAATAACTGCAAATTTTTCGTTTCCTTGGTTGCTCCTGACATGACTGTTCGTCAGAAACATCTATTTTTAGAATTTCGCCGATAATTTGCTTCAAATTAGGCTGCAAAGTCACAGTGTTATATCGCTCACGAAGCCAAGGTGCCATAAGTTCTTCTGCCATTGCTAAGGCAAAATCCCTTCTTTTTGTGGGTTTTTTATTATTACGGATCTCGTGTGATACGTGCAGGACATAAGCATTAATTATAGATATGTTTAGTATACCGTAAAACAAGCACAACGGCCATCGGTTGGTTTTGCGGCTTGAGCTCATAATTGAGCACATCTGGTCCACTGAATCGACTGCTCCTTTAGTTGAATTGTAAAATTCAATAATTTCCGGTTTTTTGGAGCCGTTGCTAATAGCAGATTGGTCATGAGTAGTAGATAGAAGGTATACGACTTTATTTGATTTTGGTTTGTATGAGACTAAAGTCATATCTCTGTCAAAGGCGAACATCGATGTGCCTACTGGTCTATTTTTGTTGTTCTGCATTTCTTTCGGGATCTCACGTTTATTGCTTCGCAATGTACCCACGACTGTCAGCTTATAAGGCGGTTTTAGCAATTCTGTAGCCAGGGTAACTGACATAAACTAGTTGTCCATTGTGATATTCCGATTTGATCCATATATGGGTTTAGCAAAATAACTAGCCAATGGTTCGTTACCGGTGTGTGTTTTTTCCTAGATAAGGTGTAGCGTTGCACATATATTTTGTATTACAATCCGCCATCATAACCAGTTTCAAACCATATTTGGCCGGTTTATTAGGGATGTACATCCTGAAAGGGCAGCGTCCTCTAAAACCAAGAAGTTGTTCATCTATCGTAACGTATGAACCTGGCTTGTACCATTGCTGACAATTATCTATAAATTTGTCCCAGAAATCTCTAATGGGAGCCAGTTTGCCAGATACCCTTCTTTGTTGCCTTGTGTTTTTGTCGTCAAATCTCAAGCATCTCTGTAAAAAATCAAACCTTTCAGCACTCATGCAGCCCTTATAGGTGTTTGCGCTTCTTTTTGTATCAAATAAAATTCGAGTTGGCTAATGGTTACTTTTCAGGGCAGCAGATTGAATAAGTAGACCCAGTAAAGCCTTGACTTCATTAGCCGACGTCTGAGAAGTGGTGAATTTAGAAAGTTTGTACTTATTACTCTTTATATCAATATCTGCGTTTGTAAATTGCACGATGGCATCGATCATTTCTTCCGTCACAAAAAGCTGAAATAGTTCCTTCGGCTCTGAGACCTCTTTAGCCAATCCAGAAGGACCAGGTACGACATGTATCACATTACGACTACTTGTACGTGTGCGTGGGTCACGAGGATTTGTTGACCATCTGTGTCGGTTCTTACCGTACAAGTTACGCTGGCTCGGCTGAATAACTGTCGGATGTAATTGCGGTACTTGTGTTTGAGTATCACTGCTGGATTCCGCCTGATCCGTGTTTATTGTATCATCATCAGAATCTAACACTAACCTTCGATTACGCCCGCGACGTGAAACTAACAATTCGTCCCCCGAAGAGTCTGAAGCTTCTTCCTTACTTTCCTCAGAAGGGACATGTACTTCCGTCTCAACATTATTCTCTTCCTCAGAATCGGATGAATGAAGTTCATTGTCGGATAAAAATTCGGTGTCCGATTCAGCTAACCATTGAACAATTTTGCCTTCTACGCTTCTAAAATCCAT